AACAAATGAGCAAAAATATTTATCAAATTGTAGGGAAGGATAAGAGGTGATCCATGGATAGATTGAACAGAGCTCTGAGTGCAATCTGAACAGGTGCCATTCAAACCCTTTTCCTCCCGCAGGTACGAGTTGAGTGAGAAGATGGTAGCTGCCTGCAACGTTCTTAAAAGCCACCTCAACGACGGCAAGGCTTTAACTGGCAAAGATGTGGTGAGAAAAAAGATTTACTTCTGCCTCTATGGGATTAGGCAATGTGGTGATCTGTCAGTCTGCCTTTTTCTGGAAAGAAACCTAATTCCCTGTTGTGCCTGATTCTGTAGCAACACTCTGCTAATGAGAACAAGATCACATTTCGACAGAATTCAGACTAAGAAGATATGGATAATTAGGTTGGATTATGTACTCTTTTAAAGTGTAAGCTTTTCTCGTACTATGCTACTGGCAGCGTTGCCATGTTTAGACTTTTTTCAGCTGCCAGCCTCTTCACACCTTTCATTCTGCTTGCACGTATAGCTGGGCGGTGTGCCACATCATCTCCAGACTGTAATCAGTGCCCTGAGACAAAGTCTGTTCAGAGAGCTGGCCAAAGGATGTTCCCCACCCCCTTCCCCCTCCCCACTGAAACATCTCTGCTTCTGCTGCCGCATGTCTAATAGCGTTTCATCCTGCTCGAACCTAGAGCCTTTCGTCAACATCAGCCCCACGAAAAAAAAAAGCAGCAGGGAATCAAACCAAGTTAGAATAATTTTTCAGCTTCACAACTCTGTTATGCACAGGCAGGAAGGTGACTAAGCCTCTCTTGTCTAACACAGTGTGAAAGAATGTTTATCCCACAGCGCAGGTTGAGCAAGCGTGCAGAAATAACACTGTCCTCTAGACATTCCAAGCTGTGCACTGGCAGGAGCCCCGTATCCAGCAGGCTTTCAGAAAGACCTTTTCTGCATTTTGGCAGCGTACTTTGCAGATAAATGGAAACAGTTTTCCATCATTACTCGACCAGTAGGATTGAATTGGACACACATGACGTTCTCTTTAGAAGAAATAAATTTTGATACAGATGTTTATCAAAGTAAATTATTCGATTCAATTCAGTTGTCCTTTCTATGGGCATACAAGGAGCTTAACACCTTGTAACTAATGCAAACTCATTGTTATAATGATTGTTTAACTGGGAAGCATGGAGTTGAGAGTATGTGTTTGCAGTGTAGCCATTGGAGTCACTATGAGCAGTTGCACTAAAGGAGTTATTATTAGTGTTTGCATTATGGCTGTTGGAGTTGTTATGAGTGGTTGCAGCACAGTTGTTGGAGTGAATATGAGTGTTAGTAGAATGACATGGAGTGTGCCATGAATATTGAAGTCTTCCTGTGGCTCCTCTCGCCCCCAGCGAGCGTGCCTGAACACGATCCAGCACGAGTGGTTCCGAGTGTCCAGTCAGAAGTCGGCCGTGCCGGCCATGGTGGAGGACTACCTGTCCGCCTTCCGCGCCGTGTCCCCCGCGGTGCTGCGGCACGTCGTCAACATGGCCGACGGCAACGGCAACACCGCCCTGCACTACAGCGTGTCCCACTCCAACTTCGACATCGTCAAGAAGCTCCTGGACGCAGGTAACACGCGCGCTCGCCTGCTCTTTACACCTGTGGGACCGCGAGCGCTGCTTTGGAAGCTTGTGTCGCTGTTTAGAAGTTCTGTTGAAAGCTGGGGCATGCCGGGTTGCTAAAATGTTTATTTTCCATTGGGCTCTTTTGTGAAAGTTTTTCACAGTATGATGGAAGTCTTGTCACTTTTTCGTGTTCTTTTCTTACTTCATGGAAAGTTTCATGAGGTTAGAGCTAAGGAGGGGTTGGAGTTTTGCCATAGAACAGAATTCCCTTTGGAATCCAGTTTTTCAAAGTCACTGAGAATTTCATTCTTTTACATCATTTCGAAGGTTGTGGTGTTCTTTTTACATCATGTGTGATTATGAATGCAACATCAGTGTTTTTATACAGCGCAGTTTTTATTTTTAGAAGAAATGTCTTCATAAGAAAAAACACATTTCTTGGATAAGAACTCATTTGAGAAATATTGAAGCCACAAACATTGTCAATAATAAATCCTGTAATTGCGCTTGCACACTCGTAAATTTTGTGATGAGAAATTCTGTCATAAGAAAGCTTTTCCAGTGAAGTTGCAGGAAGTGTGTGTTTTTTTATTACCCTTGTCTTGCACAATGTCCTCGGAAAACATTGACTCCAGTTAACACCCCATTCAGACTGCAGCACTGAGGCTGCAAGTTTATTAATCAGGGTGCTTCTGAGCCGCCAGTGATTAATCGATTCACAAAAAGCAAATTGAATCACATTTATCCGACTCTCCAGTCATTAAATCCGCATCAAGGGGGTCCCGGTCGGCCTAACCTGAATGAGCTCACGGGCGTCCCATGTCGGCCGAGGCTTTAGGGGCGCCCGCTTTCAGGGAGTGACGAGCAGTGAATTCGGCACAGAGCGTGATGAGCTGCAGGCACTTGTGAGAGAAAAGGCCCATTGTCCCGGGGCTTTGTGCACCGCTGCTGTCTGATGGTCTATGCTCCGGGACCCCGCTTTTGCTGTGCGCCATTGTTCAGTACGTCGCGGTCTTGATCCAAAGGTCTCGGCCCTGCAGTTGAAGCTCTGCTTAGGCCTCGCGTCTCCGCCCCTCCTCAGAAGGATGTGGGCCGGCTGAATGGCGGCCGCGTTAAGTGTCCCCCTCCCCACACTGACAATGGCCCCCCTCCATCGCCCTGGGTAGGGGTGGAGTGGGGGTGCTGCTTTAAGCAGGCGCTGATGTCCCCCTAACCCTCCACCCCCCGTCTTTGTTGCAGATGTCTGCAATGTCAATCAGCAGAACAAGGCAGGCTACACCCCCATCATGCTCGCTGCCCTGGCCGCCGTGGAGGCCCAGAAGGACATGAGGATCGTGGAGGAGCTCTTCAGCAAGGGAGACGTCAATGCCAAAGCCAGCCAGGTCGGTGCCGCGTACAGAGAGGGAGGGAGAGAAGGAGCTCCTCTCAAAGGGATGTTTGCTTTTCTCCTGCACACGGCCATTATTTTGCTCAGCCTGTGTAACATTAGTTCTTTCTGTTTTATGAACGCAGGGAAAATACAAGACATGAATTCTTAAATGGGGAAGAAAAATTCTGTCCTTACGAAGGATCTGAAATGCGATATATAGTGATATTAATCACTTTTTCAGCCTGAACATGCAATTTGTCACATTATAAATGTTATTTCTTAGTAAATAACATCAGTTTTGTAACTCTGCTCTCTATCAGTTCTTTTATAAAGTTTAGTTTTTTTCCAAGTTCTGTTGAAAGCTGGGGCATGCCAGGTTGCTAAAATGTTTATTTTCCATTGGGCTCTTTTGTGAAAGTTTTTCACAGTATGATGGAAGTCTTGTCACTTTTTCGTGTTCTTTTCTTACTTCATGGAAAGTTTCATGAGGGTAGAGCTCATGTGACACTTCAACTTTAATTTTGTTTTGCTATAGAAACCTTGGTTTCCTTAAAAGAAATCTTAAAATCTGACCTGTGCACTTGGTAAGTCTTTTTTCCTGTTGACCTCTGACCTGTGCCCTCTCACCCCGCCAGGCCGGCCAGACGGGGCTGATGCTGGCGGTCAGCCACGGCAGGATGGACATGGTGAAAGCCCTGCTGGCCTGTGGGGCGGACGTCAACATCCAGGACGACGAGGGCTCCACGGCGCTCATGTGCGCCAGCGAGCACGGCCACGTGGAGATCGTCAAGCTGCTGCTGGCCCAGCCCGGCTGCGACGCCACCCTGAGTGACAGCGTGAGTCTCCGCCCCCCTCTCCAGCTCTCACAGCTGCTGCGACGAATGATGAATACTAAAAACGCTGCGCTTATTTCAGTGTTATCATCTACTGGCTGCAATATGTTTAACAGAATATCTGGGTTCTGTAATCATAAACCTATTTTTTTTACATTAAGAACCTAGTTAACAAGTAGTTAGGTTGTTTATCGTTAAAATTATGGTGACTCTACCATTGTCCTGGAAGGCCACAGAATCTGTGTGCTTTCATTACAACCTGGACAAAAGAACCATGTGATTTAATTAATAGTCTTATTTGAACGGGAAAGAAATATGTCTGTGTAACAGCCTGGGCCTTTATTTCCTTTGTCTGTAGCCCTTTAACTTTAGACACCACCCATAAATCACTTGGGAGTAGGCCAGTGTCAGTGACTGTAGCAGGGTGAGCTAATGCATTTACTGTGATTTCAAAAAATATCATTGTAATCAATCCAGGACCTGAATTAAGCAATGCAGCGAACCAGCTCATGTCTGGCAGAGTGATGCTAATGGTGGAAAGAGAGCCGGGAAAGTTGTGAATTGCAAAATTCTGGGTTTTCGGTAACCTTTGTATAAATCATTGTAATTCTTACAGAGGTGATCTTAGAAATGATCATGTTTAGCATGTTGAGTGTGCACTGGTAAGGAGGTGAACCATGGGGAATAACAGCAGACACGTCTCTCCCTGTGTGCGGTACCAGGATGAGAGCACCGCCCTGTCCATCGCGCTGGAGGCTGGCCACAAGGACATCGCCGTGCTGCTGTACGCCCACGTCAACTTCTCCAAAGCCCAGTCCCCGGTGCGTACCCGCGCAAAGCACACTTCCACGCATTGCACATAACATCTATGCTCACCTTTACCAACGCTACCTTTAGGGCAGCCATGTGTTATAGATGTTAATAAGCCACACCTGTCACCAGCAGTGAGCTGTAGCACTGCTGTTGAGCTACCAGAATGGTACTCACTCTGAGTTACTTACATTGGTAACCAGCTGTGTGAATGGATGTGCGAGGTATAAACTGTGTCTGTCACCCTGAGTAAGCAATTCAATAATATAAAAATAATAATAAAAATATTAAGAAAATAATAAAAATTGGCCGCTCACTGGAATGGACAGGACCTCCCTTCTCTTTGCTTCAGTTTTGTAAATCGGTACTACATGTACCATAGGGTGGCAATGTTGCATAGTGGTGAGGGGCAGGGCTTGTAACCAAGAGGTTGCTGGTTCGATTCCCAGCTGGGGCGCTGCCGCTGTACCCCTGGGCAAGGTACTTAACCCACAATTGCCTCAGTAAACATCCAGCTGTATAAACGGATAAAAACTGTAAGTTGCTCTGGATAATAGCGTCTGCGAAATGACAATAATGTAATGTAATGCATGCATGCGCCGTGTGTGCACGTGTTTTGTCTAGAGAGCTTTCCCGAGTTTGTTTCATTCTGAGCCTCAGAGAGGAGTGAGGTGTGTTTGTGTAATTTGGGTGCTCCTTTGCCCTCTCTCCGCAGGGGACACCCCGCCTCGGGAGGAAGACGACCCCCAGCCCCACGCGGAGAAGCATGTTTGATTAGGGCGCCCATGCTCTGAAGCCCCGCCTCTCTCCCACACCCCCATGCTGCTATTCGTTCACTTTCAAGGGCACCAAGAGTCGTGTTCCGCACATTCATTTGGGGGAAACTATTTAGCTGGAATGCAGCAAGCGTCAGTCAGTCGGCCAGTTAAGGGCTATCCAGTCAGTTTGTGCCTGTGGCTTCCAACCAAACACTTTCCCCCTTGGCGCTAGCTTTTTGGAGATAGAGTCTTCACTACAGTAATCACTTCCAGATACCTTCACTTCAAGCTGCGATTGTTTATGCTGAAGGAATAATCCTGGTTTTAGGAGCTGATCACTTTTTGCTTTCGGAACACAGCCCTAGGTGCCCCTTGATCTGGACACTCTCTGAATGTATTCATGAGTTTCATTTGTGCCTGATCTCACCAGCAGTTCTCTGCATTAGAGGTAAGGAGCACCTGCCGCGCGTGCTGAAGAGGCAGTTAGCTGGGAAAGCGTCTGTCAGCGTTAGCGACGCAGATCTAAACCCTGAGACGCTCTCCTCGTTCTTCAGTGTTGTGTCCCACATGTGCGGCCCTGTCTGCCCTTTCCGTTTCATTCTGCATTCATAATGTCTGGAGAAGCCAAGCATTAAGCGTCAGAGGAAAATGGAAGATGTTAGCTACTGAAGCATAGCTCTGTTGCCTCTTGTGTCGTAATACAATAGATGTTCTGTGGTATGTGTATATGGGTGTGTATATATGTACACACACACACATACATACATATGTACATACACACACATTATATATATATATATATATATATATATATATATATATATATATAAAATGTGTGTGTATGTGTCTGTCTGTGTATATATGCTCATGTTCATACATGCACACTTACAGACACACATTACATGCATGTTAGTTTCATCTTCTCTGTGTTTCTCTCTATTTGGGTGTGTGTCCCCTCCCCCCCACTCCTGGACGTATACCACTGGTAAGCAGGATGGGCATTTATCAGCTTTCCACATACCATTTGGGCAATATATTTTAGATGGGATGTAAGATTTAACTTTTATATACAGATCGTTTCTATATATTTAAAAGAAATCTCAGTATTTTGAATATTTCATATTCCCTTATAAACATGACATGAAGTTAAATATTTATCAATTCATAGTTTTTAATCCATATATAAATAATGTATTTCAATGTATATACTGTATGTTTTAGAGGAATTAGAGATGCTAGGCATGTGCTAGGCTTCCTTTTGTCTTTTATGTACAATTTATAATAAATTGTTCTTAGCAACATTAAGGTACTTTAACCTTTTTATCAAAATGTTTTGAAGTGCCTTCAGATTGCCATATAACATGAATAAACTGCATTAAAATGACATGGGTGCTCTTTAATCCGAGCTCTTCAAGCTGTTAATGTCATGTAATTGCCCTTCCCTCAAGAGCTGTAAACTTTTATCTCTTTGCATACCATGAAATGTTCAGTCCTCTATATCATGTGCATTGTGCCACTGAATACAGCTTGCTGTCTCCCCCTGCTGGTGTCAATTGGTATTTTTTAAACTACGCAATAGTATTTCTGTGGATGTCATGAATAACAAACACCATTTTCATTTGCGGCCTGATAGGCTTGCTTTGCTAGGAAATTGTTTTCTGTCTTTGTCTCGGTAAGAGAGCCTATCAACATTATTTCACTGAGACAGATTCCCTAGTTGCAGTATTACAGAAGAGAACACCCAAGTATTTTATAGTGCGCTTGATATTTCATGGTATTCTTATGTAGAAAACATTTGCGTTTATCAAAATGTTCAGTGCTGTTATTGTGCTGCTTATGTTCTTTATGTAGTTGTATTACAAAGTGCAAATAAACATTTTAAATCACTCGGTCTGGCATATTCATTCAGAATGTTTTCATTGTGTAATGTTCTAAATATGCTGACTCGCTTGGTGGAGGTAATGTAGTCTCACTTTGGTGCATTTCTGGCCTGTTTGAGCAGGGTGATACTTTTATCAGTGGTTTTTCTCTTTGTTTGCTTCCATTGATGAATGTGCGTGTGGATGTGCCTTTTAATGTTCAACGTTTAATTGTCGTCTGACAGTAGAAAGAGAGGACCCCCGAGATATTTAACTGTTTAAATGCTGCTTCTTCATGTGCCTGGCTTTGGTTGAATGGACTTTGTGCAAAGACAGTGCATTCTGCATTTTGTGAGTCTATACTGTATGGCTATACTTGCTTAGTAAAGAAAAAAGTCTTTATGGAACATTTTGAAGATGTAACATTAGCTGGGTTTTATTCATTTAATATTTCCAGCCAGTTGTTTATCTTTAATTCCTTTCATTGTGGTGTATTCATTTTACATGGGAGTTTACTCCCCTAATTTATGCAAACACATATCACGACGGATGAAAAGATCTCTAGTGGTAGGAGATGAAGCATACTTTCAGCAAAATGCAGTTGATTCAGATGCTAGAAATTGAATCTGCTGCTTAAGGTTGTTCAGTTATTTTGACCTTACAGTTCAGTGCTTTCCATACTGTTATCCCTGCATTTTTTTGTCATGTTTTACATGTATATCTTCTGTTAACCATAATGTGTGCCTGTAGCCATATACTCTACAAGCCTCTGAAATTCAGCTGTTTTCCTCCTTCATTAAACATCACTATGAAGTTTACCTAATCACAAACAGATGGGATGACCGCAGATCTCGGTGCAAAAATGTCTGATGTATTTGCAAATAAAATACGTGTTTAGTGGGCATGGAATGTTTTTGATCCTCTATCATAATGATTGTCCGTACTGCCAGACCCTGCATAGTGTGTTCAGCCCCCACCACCAGGGGGCCAAGGCTAAGAATGACTTGCAGGTGACAGCCAGAAACCGGAGGAAAAAGAGAGCAGTGTTGCAAGACTATGTGAGAAGACCAGCATTGACCGCAGAGCTCTGGATGAGCTGAACAAAGGGACTACCATTGGCAGGGAGAGAAAAAGAGTTTTCTAGGGGAAACAAATTATAATTGAAGTGCCATCCCAAATTATGATTTAAAAACATTAAATGGGATTTGTTGGACAATATTAATATCTAGTGCCAGCAGATGGCGCTGATTTGTTACAGTTTCTTAATATAAACTATAACTTTCCTCAGGGTATTCGGTTTTACAGCACAATTCCTTTTTTATGTCATTTAAAGGAGAGGAATGTTGACCCTTCTAACTGCCAGTACCTGTTAAATTTGTGAGCAGCAGTGTGGGATAGTGGTTATGTACTATTGGCCAGTATATTCTTCATTTTGATTTTTTTCCTATTAATGGGAATACAGAGGATGACTTGATTGAATGCCTAGTTTCCACTGGTAAATAAGTAATATAAGGGCTAGTCAGAAGATCGTATGGGTGGGTGTTATGCAAATTGTTACAATGCCACACTTTTTTGTATCTCACAATGGCCAGCAGGGGGCACTCCAATGGTGCATCTGGTCTGATGGTGAGTGTCTCTTTGCACAACTACTGTTTGTTTCTCGCTGCTAATGTCCTTCAGAAATATGTAGAACTATCTTCAGTAGTAGGAGCCTAGACTACCTATCAGTGTTATAAAGGGATGAGTTTGTCATTAACCTGCTTGTATGTACTTTTGTAAGCAGCTCTGGACTAAATGTAAATGTAGTGCAATGCCTGACTCTTCTGGTTTGTTGCCCTGGAGATTTTCTATTCACACTAGTCTTAAGACACCCAAAGAGGACATTATTTATTATCACTAGCTAATTATTGCCCCTATTAAATATATTAACTGATTACCTTTAACAGTATCTCTGACCATGCAAGAGAGCTGGGCTGTAGGCCTTTGGAACTAGCTGCCCTTACTGCCAATGAGAGTGATGCACAGATTTACCTTCTGCCTCACTGAAGTTAGTTCAAGTCATTATTTGAATATCAAGTCAACTCATCTAGCAGTTTATATTTGAATCAGTTGCTAATTGAGAGGTTGGTATGAAAATGACTTGAATACTGTAATCCATCACAATGTAAATGCATGTCGTCAGATAAGCAATAGGTGAGGCATGTGTTCAATAGTTTAAATAGATTAGAAATGTCACTGATTTTCTTTGATAGCACAGTATTGCTGAAAGGTCCGTTTGTGAACCCTCTGTAGCTTCCTGAGGTGGAGAACCCCTTGAAAAAGTGAATTTAATTATGCTGTCAGGTATGATAACTGTCAGCGCCTTTTGTGCTCAAACTCGATCTACAAACACAATAAGCAGTCTGGATTGTGCTGGAAAATTGTGCTGTTATGGAACCCAATTACCTTTAATTTTCTCCTGCCATACTGATACTGAATCAGTGGCCAACCTCTCCCCAGGTAAGTATGTGGAAGGAGTCCAGTTTGGATGCCGTGTTCAGCAGATCTATATCTGCTGCTTATGGCAGTGAAGTGATGTAGTGAACAAGAGAGTACAAGCTGGCCGTTCTGCACTCTGTAAAAGGACAGCAATCGATCTCACACACACACACACACACACACACACACATACATACACACACACACACAGGAATGCACACGTGTACACACACACACACACAGGCATGCACACATGTGTATACACACACACACACACACACAGGTGGGCATTTGGTGCATACATACACACACACACGGCACACACACAGGTTATCGCATGCCTGCACGGTGAAAGGATGACTGGGTGA